CCCCCCCCCCCCCCCGTTTTCCGCCCCTGTAAACCCGATCCGGTAGATTCAGCGGATGATGAAACTCCTTAAGCTGAAGGATGTATTGCAACCCGCCGCCGGAGAAGATGAGGTGAGCAACGAGGTTTGGGCTGAGGGGGCGATGGAGAGCGTGGAGACCCTGAGGCAGGCGCTGGACGAGGGGGAGAAGGCTAAGCAGGAGCTAGGTGAGTGAGCGATTCCTTCCAAGTTTTTTTTTTGCGTGTGTTGCGGAGTAAATTGTTTCCTGCCTTCTGGTGTCTACTGGTAGAAGCGGACGACTACACCCTCAACGGAGTCAGGACCAGTACTGTATTAGTGTATTTTCAAGGGAGAATAAAATTATGGTGCATTAAAGGATGAGGCTATGCTGAGGGGACGGGAAAAGGATGTAGCTCGGTACCACTCGTCAGGCACGCCCGAGCTCCAAGTTTTGCCGACTACGTGTTGACCAACTTTGGGTGCTTTGCATCTGCGTGCGGCATGCGAATCGTCCATACCGTAGCCCGTTGGAACATGTTTGGTTTATGAATATGGTGTGTTGCCTGTTGCGCTCCTCCTCGCTCGCTCTTCACCAATACCACACCATGTGGCAGTGCTCGACAACCTTAGCCTGGTGGACATCATCGTCAAGAACTACGTGGGAACCTTCGCCTACGGCAGGTATGAGGGGGAGGCGTGTTTGTTCATTTTTTGCATCTTGCCGTTTTTGGTGGTGATGGTTGGTGATCGTAGTGTCTTTTGCTGCTGTTGGTGGCGATGCTGCTGCTGCTGCTGCTGCTGCTGCTGCTGTCACCAGAGCTGCTTATTGTTTTTTCAGTCACGTCATCCACCGCCGTCACTTGTTTATTACAAAAGCAGCCATGTAGACACCAAGCATATGCCCCGACCTTATCGCCCCCCCCCGTGCGGCCAAGCCCCCCCCTCGGTGTCTGCCATCGGGGTTGGGCTTTCCTCGCTTGGCAACGACGTTGTAGAACAAGCCAATTCACTTCGTGAACTCTGCAACCAGGTTACCGTTTTTTTTTCCGCTCGTATTTTTTTGGCGGTAACCATAATAGTGGTCGAGTAGATCATGTTGTGCGGGGTGGAGAACCCTCGCTCCGCGCAAGGGGGATGATCGCACCACGTTGTGTTAAAATGGTCAAGCACCCTCGAGGCAGTTACACAGTGCTTACAACTGTCTCGGGAAGTGAAGCAACAGAAAATAAATTAAGTCATACACAGCTGTCATCCGTACGCAAGGAGGTAAGCACAAGATGCCGAACATNAATATCTCACGGCGCTTCGCGCTTGGTGATGTGAGAGCCTGGTCCGGTGAGAACCCGGCGTGCTCCGTCCCGGCTTTGTAGGGATGCGAGGTCAATGGTCTAACGACTACGGCATGCACGACTATGAGTACACCCTCCGCCCCGTGCGGCCATTGTTTCGATTAATATCGCAGGTTCACGGAGAAGGACCTCACCCAGGACGCCACCGTCGGGCTCATCCGGGCGGTGGAGAAATTCGATCCTGAGAAGGGGTTCTTCTTCGCCACGTACGGCCGGTGGTGGGTGCGCAAGTACCTCCACGAGGGGGTGCAAAACCACAACCGAATGGTCAGGATCCCCAACAGCGCGGCGTACCGGATCGCTAAGGTTGGTTGTTGGTTGTCCCGGCCACAGATGCAGGCTTTTTGTCGTTGTGTCTGGAGCAAAATGCGTGTATCTGCTACAGGTGCGGTGCTGGTACAGCAGAAGGTGCAGTTTTTTTTTTCGGGGAGTGCTTGAGCAGAGATGACAGGACACCATCAGTAAGACACCAAGAACAACAACAACGCAACCAACTGATGTGTGTTTGGTTCATGAAGAGAAAACAATCACCACAACACACAACACAATGCAACTCATCGCAGGTGAAGCGTGCGAGAGACGAGCTTGAGGGTGAGCTCGGGCGGGCGCCAACGAAGCCGGAGATAGCCTTGGAGACCGATTTAACGGTGCAGCAAGTCGAGGCTTGCCTCGAGCAGGTATGCTGTGTCTGGTCGGTGTCGGGTGTGTTTCGTTGTGTGTGTGAGTGCGTGCGTGTTTTCTTACTAACGTCGACCGCACTAACTGGCTGGCCAGTGAAAAGATGTCAGTCGCGGTGTTTATATCTTCTTGTTGAGGTTGGTGCCGTTGTTGCCGTCGCTACCATATGTTTACTGCTGCTGTTGACGTTGCTGTCGGGTCAACATAAGCAGGTTTCTCCCTCCTGGCAGTATTTCCGCCCCAAGAATGAGGAATTCACCTTCCTTCCCCTGTATATACCGCACAATCTGTTCTCGCGACCCCTAGCTTGTACCGCAGCACCTCCACCCCCTGCGTTGCATGTCTTTTCTTATGCTGAACACGCCTCCGACACGGGAACAATTAATGTGTGACGAAAGGTGCATCACGCAAGATTCCACACCCTCTGAACCGAACTTGTAAGATCCAATTCTCAAAGCGTTGGGTTTTCGTCGTTTACCGCAAACTGAAAACATCCCCACTACCTCCGTCCCTGTTGTACTCATCGCTGGAGCAGGACTCGTTTCGCATCGAACGGCTAGACGGTTACATGGGCCACGGTTTCGGCATGGCGGACACGGTGTTCGCATCGCACTTCGGAGAGGGGTTTCTGTACGGGTCGGACATGCTCACGCATCCAGGGGAGACGCCGGCACCGACCGTGGAAGGGGAAAAGGTTATCCAGGTTAGCAAAAGCAATAAGGTGTCTGCTTTGTGTTTGCTTTGAGCAAAGCGTGTTTTTAGATATGTATTCCCCAAACCTGAAAAATAATGAATTACAATAACCCCCCCCATATATCGTCCGCCCCCGGTGTTTGCCATCGGGGTTGGGTTTTCGTCGCTTGGCAACGACGTTGTAAAACAAGCCGCCGCCCCCGGTGTTTGCCATCGGGGTTGGGTTTTCGTCGCTTGGCAACGACGTTGTGAAACAAGCCAATTCACTTCGTGAACTCGGCAACCAGGTTACCGGGTTTTTTTATTTTACCTCCTTTTTTTTTTTTGGCGGTTCTCATAATGGTGGTCGAGTAGATCATGTTGTGCGGGGTCGAGAACCCTC